AGAAATAAGTACAAATAAAAATAATAAATATGAAATAAATACATATAAAAATAATAAATGTGAAATAGTACAATGAAAAAAGAACAAATATAGTATAAATTTGAATGTAAACGTTGATGACTCGCTGAAGCATTGCAATACCTGTGTGCGAACTAGTTTATTTTGAAATATTTAAAATTCGACATAAAATAATAAGAAATAAATAAGAATAATAAATAAATAATAAAACAAGTAATAATAAAACAAGTAATAAAATAAAAAGTATCCGGGTTGCGACATCAGGTGATGGGTTTTACTAAGAAGATATACTTAGATATATTTAGGAGTTAGGTCGGTAGTTAATGATTGGATCATACATATTTTGTCTTTTTTTTTAATCGTCCAAGTGGAAAATTTGTTACACTTAAATTATTTTAGGTATCTTAAATCAATTAGGTCATTAAAAATATTAAACAAGTATAACACTGTTGAGCAATAAATAAAGTGAGGAAGTATACCAGTATTATAAATAGTGACTTGTGCCGACTAATTGAGATATCTACTGCCCTACTAAGATGATTCATTTTGTAAGCGATAATCTTTACTAAATAATTACAATGTTCTTTGAATCCCAATTTCCTATCTATAATTACTCCCAGATATTTGTATTTCGTAACTTCTGTTATTATCTCTTTGCCAATATATACTTTATTTGTTCCTATATCAGTACCAGATCCAATAACAATCCATTTAGTTTTTTGTATGTATACTTTTAAAAAATTGGCACAGCATATACATTCCAAATTATTATTATTACCTAATACTTGTAAAACAATCATGAAACAATGTATTTTACCAATATTGAAAGTTTGAATTCACATGGTAAATATATTGTGCCCTTTCTAATGGTGTGTGTTCTTAATACTTACCAAAATTGAAGCAATAAGATGTATACACAGAGATAAAAAAAATTAAAGAAGTGAGACTGGTTTTCATTTTAATTGTCTTAAGAGATCAATTTAACGAATAACATTGCTAAACATTGTTGTTTGCTTAAGTTATATATGCCATGGTACCTTGTAATTCATTAAATTATTCTACCCAACCCAGTTATTAAACCTAATTAATATAAAAAATAATAAAAACGGTGTCAGAAATAAAGATCTCTTGAAGGTCACCTTCTGTTTTGTTTTGATGTAAGTACTTGATGGCACGAGCTGAAAAACAAACATGCCATCAAAACATTCCCATTATTATAGTTATTATTCTGGCACCATTCGTAAGTTAGAGGACAAACGAGGGTGCGTTATTACTGTTAATAAATTGGATTCAGTCAGTCACTATGCTTGGCATTTTAATATATATCTTTGGAAAAAAGAGACCGAAGATGTAACATTGCACATCGCGCATGTTGTATTTTTCAACCCTAAGTAACACACCAATTAAAAATCAATGTGTCCACGACGCCATCCGAATTGCTCCGACATTTCTATTCTAAGCTCGTCTCCGCGTTAGTGAATCATCATGGACAGCCGTTTTTTGATTTATTTGTTGGTGTTATTAGCAATTTAAAGTGTTTTAGTTATTCAATTTCAAGTTGAAAATACCACGATGTATCATGAAAAATTTTATATACAAATAATATAAGTGCCAATGTTCAGATACTTCAGATCCGCATTAATGGGTTTCAATCAATATTAATCATCTGTTCGGACATTTAACTCAATCTGGCAGCCGCGCTTGCGAAGTGTTGTGATCGGAAATGCCACGTGTCGGGTCTGGGGAATGTGTGAGAGTCGCTTCAAAAATGAAGATGAGTATTGAAAAAAGAGAACAATTCATATTATAAGACATTTGTAGAGTTTGCATTGTTTGTACCAGTTACTTTTATAATAACATCGTTAAAAAATCAATTCTTTTCTATTCTATATAATACAGTCCAACATGGTCCTATAGAGCCGAATAGTTTAAAAAAAGGTACATTTCAAGTTTGTGTTTTAACATAAAAATCGAGTTTAGTGCATACAGATCACGTGAGTTCGTTTCAATTCTTTTCTTTCCTATTCTAGACTTAATTTGAGTTAATAATGGCGAGTTCAGTTGATTTCAAGACCATAATATGATGTTTGGTTACAACACAAATTAAACACATCTAATTTTATATAATGTTTCTTTATTCATTTTTAAGTCCCAACTGGCAAAACCCCAATCGTGTATTCTGCCGGCTTATTAGGGCATCTTTTTATGTATATAAAGAATTACACCATGGCCCAAACAAACCGGCTTACAAAATAAATTAATATATATCACATTTCCCCCTTAAAAAAAAAAGTTTATCAATAACAATAAAAGAAAAAAAACTAATCATACACTAAACGTTCTGGAGGTTTAACCATTCTCTTTGGCCTATTAGTTAAATTTTGCTCAAGGTCAATGTCAGCAATTGATGCATTATCTTTATTAATATCGTCAGTACAAATTAATTTCTTGGTAACGTCATTGTTATATCAGCATTTTCAGCATTTAAATCACTATTCTCAAAATTTTCTGAATTCGTAACATTGTATGTTTTAATCTGATTTAAATGAAGTTTCCATTTCATATTAAGTTCAGGAAGAGTAACAATATAGGTGGATTTCCCGATTTTCTTAAAAATAACACCTTTAATCCATAATTTGGAATTCACTCTTCGGTAATCCCGCACTGTAACACTTTCACCAGGAACAAAGCAAATATTACGTTTCTTGAGCTTTTGAGACACGATCTTTCAACTCATTTTCAATATTAGAAGATATATTAGTTGACAGTAATATAAATGATGAGAAAAAAGTGCGCGAGGAGATTCAAAATTTATATTTTGTAGTTGAAGCAAAGTTAAAATCATTTTAAGTTATTTATGATAAAGGTTTGTTACAAGCTAAGAACGTTTCTGAGACAAAAACTCCATCGGTAATTGAATTTCAGCCACAGTTTTTTCATAGAGTAAAATTATTAAAAGTTCCTACATTTAACGGTGATTACACTAAATGGATAAATTTTAAAATAAAAAAATGATAAAATTTCATATTAAAGCAATATTGAATTATCTACCGAGTACTAAAGCTTCACACTTTTCTTTACAAGGTCTATATGAAACCATTAATCAAAACTTGAGTTCCTTGGAAAGTCTTAGCACAGGATAAAGAACAATACAGAAAAGAAACATAGGGCTAAAACAGGAACCTAGCAACCGAAGCCACACCTTCTTCATGGTGGAGCATTGTCAAAATTGAACCGTAGATTTGTTACTTGTTCGAAGTGCAACAGTGCACACTTTTATAGCAGATGAACGAAGCTGTCACTGCTGTCGCTATTAGAAAATCAATATTTTTTTCCTGTCGTGTCTTTATTTATCGTTTTGGATTTTTGGTTGTTTTTAGCGAATATTCTGATAAATTTTACGTTTTTTTAGTGGTTTAATTTTAGGTTTTGTTGATGTTTTTAATTGTGGAGTTGTTAATTTAAGACTTTATTGTACGTAATAAGATTAGGTTTATAAACAATACCGCGTCAAAGAGGAGGAGGATATACTTGTATTTATCGTGAATGTACCTTGAGAACAGGTGGCAAAGAAGGATTGTTCACTCTTGTGAAAGATCCAGTGAGGTAGGTATGAAACCATGAGGGTAAAATAGAAATTGACCTTGCCATAACATGGTAGTACAATGATTGTATGTATTTTTCAGACTTGAATTGTGGCTTAAGGCAGCAAATAGAGAGAACTTATTGGGAAAGGGTGTTGAACACTTAAGTAAAAATTACAAAATTTGTGAACTATACTTCCAGGATAAATTCATTTATTAGTCAGCAACAAGAAAACGATTATTTGCAAATGCATTTCCAACAGTATTTCCCCATTCAGAACCTACGAAGAGAGTCACAGTTTTGCAAGGTAATTAAATACAATTTATAGTTAAATGTTACAAAAAGTTTGCTACTCGTCTTGTCATTTTTTTACATTACATTTAGTAGTTTAAAAAATAAAATGATAAGTACTAGTAATCTTATAATATCAACCCATACATTTCATTTTGTAAAACTACCTCGGAGATAAACTGCACTCTGTCGACATACAATAACTTATGCAAATTAAAATAAAGTAGGTTTAGTAGTTATAGACCAAAAAAAATATAAATATTGTGACAATAAATGGATGTCTAAATATATCTAGTTTAAATTTAATAATTTAACAACATTCAAACTGCTGTATTAAAAAGTTGAGTAGAATGACAGTGCAGTTTATCTCCTAGGCACAGAAATATATTCACATTTTATAAAATTATTTTAAATTTAATCTGGCTAAAATGTGTGACTCAAACATTTAATTCTGACATATGTACCTTCTTGATCTAGTTGGTCTGATAAAAATTTGGTTTCTCTTTCTTTTTTTAAAGGAATTTGTTGTTCATGGCAAAGAAGGCAAAGACAATTTGTATCTACCCTCAACTTCAGCAGAAGTAAAATTTATTGAACAAGTGCATAGTCAACCATCTGTTTCTCTACCTTGTGTAACAGCACAAATTCAAACGAGTAATTTGTTATCATCCAACACTCCAAGAAAGTAGAGACTGCGACTGAAAATAGCAACATTGAGAAAACGTTTGTTTGGTGTAAAAAGAAGAAAAATAATTACTCATTATTTAATATTTTTTATAAGTACCGTTTATATAATTATTGTATATTTTTGTTGTATATTAGGATATAGCTATTTTAATAAAGCTACTTATCTATGTATTATAAATTAGGCTTGCTCTATAAATCTGTGTAAACAATTTCAATTATTTGAATTTTTAAACAATTCTATTTTAATAAAATACATGCACTAGATTGTAAATTTATCAATTGCATAAATACACATTTTTTATTTTCCTTGTTTTTTTATTCATAAAATCCCTAAAATACGCTTTAGCTTATGATGTTAACAATTATCCCAATTGATTTATACTTATGGATCATAAATGACTAGTGAGATTTGTGGCACAATATTAATAGTTCATTATGACAGGGTAAAATAAACTATTCTTTAAAACTTTATAATTTTTATTTTTGAAACCTCTGTCGAAAGTGCTACAAATCAAAAAATAATTTACATAAATCGAGAATATTTTCAAATGCATTCATGCAAATTTTCATAAAATATGACACATAATTATGTAAAAGAGAAATGTAGTTTTGCAGTGTAGGTTCAGTGAATAGCTACGTTCGCGTGTACCAAAGCTCCTCTATTTACATTTAAAACCCGGTCATACATTGCAAAGAAACGTAGCGCGTAGCTATTTCGTAAATGAACCGACATGCGTTTCCTGGTGCGCTGTTGTCAGGCTGTGTAGTTTATCCCTTTCATATTTAAAAATAGTTTTTACCTATAACTCACTAATAGCAACAAGTTTTATTAATTAGAATCGTTTCGAGATATATTGCGACACATCAAGCGTCCCCACCAATTCATTTTCGTACCTAGTGCAGTGTTTCTAACTCCGACGCATTGTGGACAGAGATGTTGCAATATTTCCCGAAACATTTCTAATAGTAAATCTCTAAATAAAATGACTTGTAACAAAACAAAAAAACGTATAAAATGTGTACAAAGTAGATTAAGCTATTTTAACTGCTCTCAGCAGACTTGATATTTTAGCAGCACCTATTTTTACACCATTAAGCAGGGCATTTTTGTACCTATCGTTTTTACATACATACGCTGGCTAAATAACAACTTTGCAAATAGTAAGATAAACACTATGACAAACACCATTATTATTCCTGCAAATAAATGCAAGGATTTCAAAAGCGTTCAACGTGACACTACCGCAATTTAAAATAAGCTTTTTTCTTTCATACCATACGTCACGGAAAAAATTTCGGCTTGTGTATAGCTAACAACATGGTTCGCGAGTGCATTTTGTGTAAAAAACTGGAAAATGTGTGTGCTGAAGTATCTTTTCATAAGTAAGGTTAGGTAATTATGTATTGCATAGTTCAGTGGTGTAGATTTAAAGATTTTTGCCGTAA